TGAGTACTCGAGTTAGTCGTTATACCCGTGTAATCCCTATATGCGACGTACTTACACATTCTACGACCAGAAACGGGACGAAAAGGAGGGGAGGGGGATGATGCTCCTCTCTCTCTCTCTCTCTCTCTGTCTCTATCTATCTCTCTATCTCTCTCTTTCTTTAGCTTTTATACTCTCGTGTGCGTTAGCTTTGTGCTTCTCTTCTTCGCGCACGCGCCATCGTAAATCTTATTGCCAACTCTCTCTCACTCTCTCTCTCTCTCTCTCTCTCTCTCTCTCTCTCTCTCTCTCTCCTAGACATGTCTCGAAAATATCGCATGTGCGTGGGAGTCCATGTGTGTGTGTGTGTGTGTGTGCGTAAGTGTGCGTGAGCGCGTTTGCGTGTGCGAGCGCTTATACACAATTTCTTTTTTCCGATTTAACAACGTTAACGAACGATACTGGGAGATAGATAGGGTGTACGATCATTGGGTAATAAAAAGAAAGAAAAGAAGAGAAAAGAAAAGGAAGGAAAAAGAAGAGGAAGAAAAAACGAAAAGGAGAAAAAAAAATGAGAGACGACATTTGTTCATAGACGTGAAAAAAAAAATTTTCTTTTTCTTTTTTTCTTTTTTCTTTTTTCCTTTTTTTTTTTTTCCTCAGAAAGATAATCGTATCTTAATCGAATAAAAAGAATAGAAAAGAACAGAAAATTTACGTAGATTCATGTTTAATCGAATAATTCGTCTATCTTATTCATCTTTCATCAGATCTCTCGAATGAATTATTATCCTTTCTTATTTTTGTATTTATTAAACATTTACGTATGTAATGTTATCGAATATACGAGCCTTTTTTTTTTTTTTTTTTTTATAAACGAGAATCATCTTCATTTCTAAAATACTCTACACGTTCTTAAAGCACCGTAGACAAGAATAAAAAATAAAAATAAAAAATGGATCACGTATCTTCTTGTTCCTCTTCTTCTTCTTCTTCTTCTTCTTCTTCTTCTTCTTCTTCATTTTCTCTTTTGTTATTATCTTCTAATTTAAACATGACAATCCATAATTCTTACACAAGACTTTCGATAGTTAATATCCCAAGGTTTAAATCGTGACAGCCGATGAAACTCACGGCAGTCTGTCTTGCAACGATCGAACTGCATGGAATTTCGTGCTGACGGAAGCGATAACGATCTTTAATTACACCCCGTGAGTTTCTAACTATAGACGACGTGGACGATTAATTTAAACGCGCTCAAGATTTATTTCAACGCGTCACCGAGTGAATTATGGTTTAATCTTTTTTTTTTCCTTTCTTTCTTTCTTTCTTTTTCTTTCTTTCCTCTCTCTCTCTCTCTCTCTCTCTCTCTCTCTATCTATCTATCTCTCTCTTTTCTTCCTCCTCCTTAACTTGTTATCACCGAACATTTTAAGATACAAAAATAATCAATCTTCCTCTGTTACTAATGCGTTTAATCATTATCAACAAATATAAAAGTAAAATTGCAAGTAAACATTTTCTTACTTCTTTCTTTTTTCTTTTTCTTTTTCTTTCCCCCCCTCCCTTTTCTTTTCTTTCTCTTTCTTTCGCCAAGCAAAAATATTCATACTACAGTAATTAGCGAGTAATTAATATTAATCTATTTAGATTATATGAAATAACGTGTCTTAAATCTTAAAAAAAAAAAAAAAAAAACAAAAAATGGAAATATCGTAAACATTAAACGAGTTGGTTCGAACCCGTAGTTTTGTAATTTGAGTAAAAAAAAAAAAAAAAAAAAAAAAAATAAAAAACGGGGGAAAGGAAAGAAAAGAAAAAAAAAAAAAGAAAAAGGAGAAAGAGAAGACGGTACCTGAAAGATCTCAGAAAAAAAAAAAAAAAGAAAAAAAGAATACAATCAATTTTATGAAATAATCTATGGAAAATTTGTATCGCCCATTCCCTTCGTAATATCACGTCGTATCATGAAATATTTCTATCAAATGATCGTCAGACAATATAATATATGTTACGCAGAATATCTATCCTTTATTTCGTCGGCTTATCCCGTTACCGTTTGAGCTCTCTCATTCGTCGGCGTATTGCACGATTGTTCTGTTCCTTGCACCGAGACGATGATGATTACTGTACTCAACTGATATGTACCCAAAGCTACGACGACGACGACTGTTCTAATCAGATTCAAGATCAAAAGCATCAGCCTGGCTGGCTCTCTCTTGCAATGGATAATGCTAGAGGTACTCTAATTAGATCAAAGTATACGAATCCTGAACACACACGTTCATCATCCCCTTCAATCCTATTATAACTTTTTTGTTTGTCCTCTTGCACAATGCACACACACACACACACACACGACCGTTTGCGCGAACGAATTGTTCGAATTTTTTTTTCTCTCTTTTTACTTTTTCCTTTTATTCTTCCTTGCTTTTTTTTTTTTTTTTTTAGTAAAAAATTAGAGACGTAACGAAAAAAAGAAAGAAAAAAGAAAATAAATAAATAAATAAATAATAATATT